AGTTAATATATTAATAATTCAGGTCAAAATCGAATAGCCAGGTACCCTAAAACGTTTGGATATAAATGTATGCATCTGGTGGTGGCTTGTTGCCATTACTACAATTTCGCAATAGCCAATAATCATTACCTAATTTAATATGTTGAATAATATCTGGTCTGTGGTCACCTAACATTGGATAACAATAATTATATGTACAACGATAGCTTGATAGTCTGTTTTGGTCGTTTGATTTTGGTCACATTGTTATTTGTTAACATAGTCGTTTCGTTAATAATTGGTACAGCCGTACGAATTTGCTGTCTACTTCAGCCTTCAGGTTTATAACTCAGACCTTTATCCGTGTCGCGATATTTGGATTAATAACTACACGTGCATTGCATTATGATCATTATTGAATACATCATTTAATACGTTTGATGGATAATATTGTTGAGAATAGCTAATTTTTAAGAAAAATTATGCCGAATTTTAAATTTCCCAAAACATACCGACATATTTCTTTTCATAATTTAATAATTTAAAATCTATAATTTATTGTTGTAATAATTATGAATAATGATATTTTTAAGTACATTATACATCAGTGGTTCTCGACCGGTGTGCCGCGAGAAATGTCATACATGTATGGGCGCGTGGCGATGACTATTGCCTCCGTCGAAGTTGCCGAAGTTGCTGTGGTTGTCGAGAGTGTACAGTGAAAACTTGTGGTGTGTAATAATGTGCCGCAAACCAAAAAAGGTTGAGAACCACTGTTATACATATTAGTATCATTACCAAAATATACCAATATATAGATGCTTTTTAAATTTTTTTTTATTTGCAGGCAACTAATAAATGTATCGAGATCAATCGACGTGAGATTTGCAGTTCACGAGTTCACCAAATACATAAAACAATTTTAAATAATACTAGTTTTGAGAGAATTTAAATTTGAAGGTTAGACCATTGACAGGCACACGTAAACGTCCCTCTATGCATAATATTGGCTCGGGAGTCTGCAATATTTCAATATTATTATAATGATTAATAATCTGTAAGGCGCCTTTTTTCGCTTCTTGGATCTTAGTCCTTCCTTTGCGGCAAACTTGAAAACAATATAGAAGATTTCTTTTTTAAATGTTTTCGGATAAGTTATTTTTAAAAGCGCGAGTACCGAAGTTATCTTAATTATGGGGTGCGATTGATACTCGCTCAAAGATCGGAGGGTAGTCTATTGGCTGAACATGGAAAAAGGGAGGAAAATCAGACAGCTGCAGTGGCACACGCGTTAATATAATTTTCGATTTTTTGCACTTGTGAATGTGACTAAGTCGAGGGGTTTTAAAAGAAGACGTTTCGGGATCGACTTTTCCACAAAACATGACACTGCGTCTTTCCCAGTATCGGATAGTCTATGTACGTTTTCGTTATTATTATTTTCGTGCGTGTACACTGAAAACGCATAAAATACATTATTCGCCGAATATTCGTGTTCGAATATTATGCCCGAAGTTAAAAATAAAGCCCATATGGAATTATTTTGCGAAAACAATTATTTAAAACGAGCTACATGTATAGGGTTGTTACGATTTTATTATAAAAACACAACACGATATTATTCGGGGAATACGAACGTTACAAAGTCACGGCGAAGTTAAAATAATATTATCATGGTTACGTAACATAATATAATATTATGGTAGGTGCACGTTTCATTTTCCGTCATTCTGGAGACATCGGTATCGGCTTTTAGTCGTCCGACGGCGACGGGTAGGTGTTGCCAACGTACGCAACGACCACCACGGGCGTACTGTCTCCGCCGGAGCCGCCCGAGCAGTCGTCCGCGCCGCCGCTACCGTTGCCGCCGCTGTACGTCTGGGCGCCAAAGCGGGCGGCCACCTCGGCCAGGTGTCTGGCCGGCTCGACGTGCACCGCCAATTCGGCGGCCTCGACGGCACCGCTGTGCTTGCAGTGCGCCTCGGCCGCGGCAAGATCGTAGGCGGCCCGCTTGGCGCCTTCGTCGCGGCCGTCGCCCGCCGTGGCCGCGGACATCCACTGTTCCAAGTCCAACCCGAACAGCGCGGAGTTGATGGCGCCGGGCTTGCGGGTCTTGCATGACTTGAACGCGGGCACCGCGTCCGTCAGGTGCTTGACGTCGCCCTCGGCCGCCGCGCCACCGGCGCCGTCCTTCCGCTGCCTGATCATAGCCGCCGTCAGCAGTCGGTCGGCGCGCTTCATCGGCGAGTTGCACAACGAAGCCGGGTCGGTGCAATAGTCGTGGGCGGCGGCCGGTGTCTCTTGCACCTCGACCTGCTGTGGCGTCAGCAGACAATGGCACTGACCACGCTCCTTGTCCTGCGTCTGTGGCCCGAACGCGTCGATGCCGCCGACCTCGGCCGGGCAGCAAGCATCGCCCCGCGAGCAGAACATCCGGTCGTACAGCTCCGTCAGCGCCTTGTACTCGGCGTCGTCCTCAGGGATTTCCTCGCATTCCACCGTCTCCTTGCAAGGACCGCACGACGTCATGGCGTGGTTGTATACGTGGTTTTCTGTGACAGTGGAATAAAATAATAATAATTTATTATTATATTATTACACTCGATCGGGGACACGACAAACGCGACAACGGTGTGATATAATAATAATATTAAATATTATGTGAAGACCATCGTTATTCATGTTTCCACGACTACCGACCGCCGTTTTCTCTACAACACGCCTTGACGGTTTATTGAAATTAATTTATGATACAGGCTAGTCTTTTAAAATATAGGTGGAACACTCGTTTTCGGACGCTCAGTAGTTATAACTTATACTTTACTAACTAGGTGTTGAACCTAACCTAACCTAAGTATGTATCTTAAGTTTAGAAGAACGCATTACACTACAGCAAAAAATTTGACTGCAGCTTCAGCGTTCGATTCATTGAGTTGATTACTTGATTATATCAATACGTATAGTAATACATATTTCCCTTTTGTTGAGAACCATCGAATTATTTTATTAGTTTTTGATGAGTATTATTCGAGATAATAAATCAATCACCTTAAAAAAAAACATTTAACAATTTATGTTAACTACGTTAGTAGTTTTTAAGAAAATTGTACTGCTGAAATAATCGCATCTAGTAATTTTCCCCCATTTGCCGATAGTTCATATACATGTGATCGGTATGTTATTATTTAATAAGATGTAGACATAGGTATTGTAACCATTCTTGTTGTTTTACATAAATGTAAATAATTAATTAATTAAATATTAATAATAACATTTTACAGCTAAGTTTATATAAATATATTATTATGTAGATCAACCACACAAGTTATGCTGTTGGGACGTTGGGTGGTAGCATTCGTAAAATGCATGTGTTTTGAGTTTTGACTATCATCATTCATAACAAAATATATTAATTGTTGAGCTATAAAAGTTGTGTAGTAGAAGCTAATAACAATAAAAAAACATAAATAAAAAAATATAAAAATTTATTATCTATTTAACGTATACATATATACATGCGTACATATTATGTATAAATTGTGAAAACGAAAATATAAATATACAGCAAATATTCTCGACAACGTGAGTTAAATCGTGTCAATTAAAGTACAATTCCAACAATATATGTTTCCAATATGTATTGGATCACCTACATTTTTCCACGACGATAAGCTGTTCCAAACCAATAATTATCCAACCTTTTATTATAGTAAATTAACTACATAAATTAATGTATAATACGTATTATTATGTTTACATTTCTATAATACATTTCAATTTTCAATAATAAAATTGTGATCACACGGCGTTATAAATAGGCTATTCTGGTGCATTAGTCATGGATCTAATTTTATAAGCCTTATGAAATTCTTTTAATAAACGTTTTTCAATAATTCTAAAGATACTTATTATTAACGTAATTACTGCAAAATAAATTATTATTAATAGTGAAGATAATTATAATTATAATCCTTTGATATTTATAAAAAAACAAAATAGTTGAATCTTTCCTCTACTATTACTTATGTATTAGACATGCATTATTATATGCAATAAAATTATATGACGTGAATATAACAAAATAATAGGGTTTTAATTTTAAATATGTTTTATATTCCTAACAATGTCTGATGTAATGTATAAATTGACTTACAATTAGAAAAAAAGAAAAATTTGTTTCGTTATTTGCGTTGAATACCCACTGTTGAAGTGGATTCTGATTTAATACATTTATTATTTACTTGGACTACGTCCTATCTATAATTAAAATAAAAATATAATATATTTATGAAATTTATTTGAATTATTTTACATCAAGTGTGGCGCACATTGATTATGTTGCGTTAACCACTGAGATAATGGGAAAATCTACTCGGTAGAACAGTCGTTTCATAAATTATAGGATTTTTCAGCGTATTCGGACACGTCGAAGGGGGAGGGGGGTGGGGTGAATTGAGTGTGCTTATCGATATCTACTCGAAAACGACGACGAGTTTAATCCCATCTGGAGTAGCATTGATACCACGTCATCCGGTCATCCCCTTTTCTATATCCCTGCAGTCTATAAACGTTGCAGTACAAAACGAATAAATGTTAAAAATATTAAAATAATAACAACTCGACGGGACGCAGTATTCATACATGTCGGCGAGTCCTCGCCGTCGGACAATCGTGAAAATATTTACGAATGTTTGTGATCATAATGTCTGCACGGACCGACGGACACGGCGGCCAATGGAATACTAATGAGTAATGACTTATGTAATATATTCCGAGAACATTACATAGTGGCTGCAGCATACACACGCGCATATACATGTATATATATATACACACACATATATATATATATATATCAAGTGTATACGTTATATGTATATGTACATATTATATATATATATATATATATACATATACATACGCAATACATACATACAATGTTGGCAGCGCCGTGCGGCGGCGGCGGCGGCACTCCAGTTCACCTGTTCTCCGCGTCGTTCCCGCCGCGCGGCCGTTCCAGCGGCCATCCGAGCCACTCCATGTGAGTAGTCCTTCGGATGCTCTCGTACTGCGCGCCGGGTGCGTTTATTTTTATTATTATTTAGTGGCTTAAATATTTAAGTTAAGTTATTTTTATTATTTAAATTTTATACTTGCATCGTCGTTTATTATTTTTGTAAATCGTTTCTGCGTGAGTGCGTGCGTGTATGTGTATGTGTGTGTGTACTTGTGTGAGTGTGTGTGTGTTTGTGTGCGTTTAAAATATTTACGTGATAAGTAATTATTATTATTTTTTACGAACCGAAAAATTACGAAGTACCCGATGTACAGCAGAATATCTGCGTCTTCGTTGCTCAAGTGGTGGATCCAGTCGTCGTGATCGAGGTTAGTTGATTGAAAAATAAAAATGTTTGTAGTATTATTTTTTTTTGGTTATGGACAATGATAACCAATATCCTACGTAATTAACTGCTTAAAAATGAATCATTAAATATTATTATGATTGTCGGAGTATATAGGGATATTGCAGGTAGGTACATTATACATGTAAGCAATTCGACAAAAACGTGTACATATAGTCATCTTGATTTTGATTATCTTAAGATTTGTCCGATAAATAAGTCTAGAATACTATTTTAAATTGAATATTTTTTCTTAATACTAAAAGAAATTATTATTAATTTCATGGCAGTTTTATTTATATACTATAATATTATAATATTCAGTAAATTACTATTTAATTTCTTACCTATTAGATATATATATATAATATTTATATAGGTACTATATCAACTAGATTAAATATGGATAATATATAATTATTATAAATATTTAAATAACTTTTGTTCTTAATAATTTAATATTATATTATGAAAATTAATGATATTTATTAAAAAATAAAATTTTTAAAAGTGTATCGACATATAAGTAATATAAGTAGAGTGATATTGATAATCATTAATTACCTTTATTTCCTACTCTTCAATACGTTTTATTTTAGTTTGATATTTTTAAAATATAATTTATACATTAGAATAATATTTTAATTGTTAATAAAATATTTGAATTGAACGTTAAATTCTTTCAAAATGCAGTACAAGTTTTTAGATGTACAAAATGTAAATTAAGAACGTATAAACGCTAGTGTACAGAATAAATTAAAATAATATCAGTATCTTTAAGTATTGCCTCTTTATGTTTCTGTTTAATTCACCTTCTTATAATATTCTTCTACATGTATTATATTATTATATTAGTAATTGTAGAGTTGTAGTGATACCGAAAACAATAGGTCTATTAAATAAAAAATAAAAATCATTTCCACCTTCGTTAAGAATATTTTTCAAGCATAATTATTAAAGTAAGAGATTTTACCTATCATATAAATCAATAGGTACCATTATTATTTATGTTAACGAATACCATTTAACATTTTGTTGGTTGGAAATTAAAGTTGTTCGTTGAGTTAATTTTTTTTTACGGTTTCACTAAATGTTTATTTTTTTTTTTTAGAGTAAGTAAGACATTTCTTTTCAAAACAGTATGGATATATATATAATATATTTAAGAATTAAAATACTTTTATACTATTGATCCGGAAGGATATTTTATTGATAATTTAAAAGATAGATTTCAATACCTTGAAAAGTTTTATAATATTGTTGAATGCCTATTGCTATTACAAAATGTAATTGTTTTTACGATTTTTCAGTCTTTTCTAACTAAAATAATTACTATTTAATATTTCTAGTTCTTAAATCTTTTACAGTTTACCGACAATTAATAAATTAATTTCGTTTTAAAAGTAATTGTACAGTTATTCCTAACACGTGTTTTTGGATATCTTATTGTAAAAAATACAATAAGATTTACCTTTTTACAGTAGGTACTTACATTGATCACTATAAATAAAATCGATTTTTTTTTATACATTTTATCAATTTTTAGTTAAATAATATAATATTAAAGAAATATATTGCTTATTTTAATTATTTATCTTTACAATTTTTTTGTATTAGTATTTTTAGAAATTATTTTAGTTAAAAAATATAGTAGTTAGATATCCATAGGTAGTTAATTTATGTTATATTCAAGTAAAAATAGTAGTTTTGCAGTTTTATGTATCAGGTATCACTAGTTTCTATTAGGTAGGTAATAAAATATTGCCATAAAATAAACGTCTAACAGTATATTTCTTTTAAATTGTAATATTATTTGTTATTATATTTTCTAAATATAATTTTGAGTAGTTTATCCTCATTGACTTTGGTTCTTACTTCTTTGCGGGATTATTTTGTGAATAATGTTGTTTTAGAATGTATATGATTATTATTATAACCAGTGAGCATAAGTATAATTAAGATTTCAAGGTTGAAGATTTGAATGCAGAACATATGTGTATTTACTATTATTTACTATTTTAGCTCATTATCCATTTTAATTAAAGTACATATAATTACTTATTATTTTACCTATTAGCATATAATTTAAAAATAACCAGAATATATTTATTACCTATACCTACATAATATAATAAAATATATATTAATATTATTAGATATAATATAATACATAAATAACCAAATATTTTAGGATACATTTAACTAATTGAACATGGTATACGAAAAAAAAATATAAAAATGAGTAGGTACCTACACATTTTAGACCTTAATTTAAAGTAAAATTAATTTACTTACATTTAAAATAAGTCTAACTACATTTACAAAGTATATTATACAGACTGAATTGTCAAAAATACATCATTAATATAATTGGATAGATAATATATTTAAAATTTACTATTTGGTATTGATTAATGATTTTTTCAAGTCAAATTTATTATAATAGTTGTGCAATTTGTTTTATACTTTACTGAGTCAAATAATTTGAAATCATTTTGACTAACAAAAAAAAAAAAATGTAACTCTTCAATAAGAGTCCCATGAGTATAAACGTCTGTATACATTAACACAACGTTATCACTATTGTATTGGCATAGTTTCAGTATAATATAAGAGCAATAATTTATCGCTCAATGATTTTTTCTCAACTTTATTATTTTGAATATTTACTGAAAGTAGATATTTCCCACACATTTCATACCTACTCGTTGGCGTCAAGATCCAACCCTTGAAAATGGTTCGTCATTATTAAAGTTGAACTTATACATTTCAGCGCGTACTGCGTACAATAAATGTGTAGACGTGCGTGTGGCGTTTCCGTACAGGGCGCTGTAGTGATGATTAATGAATAAGAAAAATAAGACCGAAAAATATTTTTTTATCGTCAGTAGGATATTGTGTTTGCTGTTTAGCGATTTTCAGACACAGAAACTCGAGATTGTTGCGAGGCGCGAGTAATACACTATTACAATAATATTATATTATATGGTGTTCGCGTGATAGCGATGGTGGCCAATTTACAGGCATACGGAGACTTGGAAACGTGACGGACACGCGACGTACGCGTACAGCATAATATCCTATATGGTGCAGGCCACTGTCGTCGCGCGACGCCAATACTCTGTTCTCCGCGCCGCCGGCATTTTCAAATTCCTTGTCTAAATCACAGTATATGATTTTATGGTATCTGGTGAATGGAAATATAATTATTTTAATAATTCGGCGATTGGCAGTGATCTCTGATACATAACAGTGCATAATAATATGTATGGTACCACTAGGCAGACTATAATTATATGATGGCGAAAACGAACTTTTCTGTTTTATTTTTTTAATTTAATTACTATAGGTATTTAATAATTGGCGGATTTTAGTTAATGACATTTTTTCTCGTGTTATGAGTTTCTAATGATTTTGTATTTCTGCAAATGTTTCTAGTTTCTTTTACGTATCAACTATCAATATCTCACATCGTTTTAATACCATATGTTATCGACAATGAATCACATAATATTATACACTATAATAATTAATAGTACATAACAAACTGGCAAAACATTTTCGGCATATAGTTTTATTTATCGTTCTTTAGTTTCATCTTATAATTTATATTTATAATCAACTGTATTCGAAAATTCTCAAAATGTATAACTTAATGCCTAATCTTAATAATGTGTTATTATTCTCTCTGTAATCAGGTTTAATCTTTAAAAATAAAAACTTCTAAATGTATTTACTTAAACGCGTATTAAGGATTTATTTATTTGTCTATCAACATGTATGTTTAATAACGTTATTGAACAGATACAATTTTATTTTTGTATGTGTTGGTACGCGTACGTTATTGTACATATTATCATAAGTATATAATATAATTATTAAATTGCATATAGTACTTAATGTGTTGCTTTTAATTAAGTTGCACTTATAACCTTAAAGACATGTTTTCCAATAAATAGTGGTGAATATGAATCAATATTCGTTATAAGCTACTACATGTCTACTTTTAATAATTTTGGGTTTTAATTTGATGTTTATAACGATCCTCTATTGTATTTTTGCTGCATTGCTATTATCTATTAAAATATTGTTTTGTCTGTACGATAATGTCGATCGTTAACACTAGGTACTAACACAGTCGGCAGTCACTTTTGACTTGACATGACATTATGTGACGTAGGTATAGACGTATAGTACCTAAATTAAATTACTTGTGTTCGTTTGACATATTGTGCAGGATCTGTGTGGAATTATTATATAAAGGTATATGAACCAATAATGTTGTTGAACTTTTTTGTTTTATTGAACATTTAATTTAAATATTTGTATGTGTATTGTAAATAATGGAACTTAAGTATATTATGGGATATTTATTGTTGTGTAATGTATGCCATGTCATTAATAAAAGTTTATTACTATTAAGTTTATCAGAACTCTTATATTTAACCAATTTATTAATTTGCACAAAAATATTTTATCATATCCAACACCTGCAAAATATTTTATTACATTAATATTAAAATGGGTAAATATTGATAATGGCCCTTAGTAATTATATTTGTATACAAATTACTAGGGAAACAAAAAATAAAAATAAAACAACAAAAGTTTCCTTTTATACAACAAACAATAACTTACGAATTACGATACACAAATAATAGTGAACTTAAATAGATATAGAAAATTGTTAAAGTTATCATCGATGGTAATCGAGATTGTATGTATTGAGTTTTAACACAAGAATGAATTCGAAACTCGAAATAACAACTTGGGTTGCATATTAGAAACAAAACTTTATACATAAATTTGTGTACTCACCTACTTACAAATTATAGTATATGGTATGTTATATTCGTTGAACAATTGTGTGTACTTTTTTACATTTCCTGATTATAATTTGTAATAGATTTTTGGACATTGATGTTATTATTTTGGAGATGATTAATTTTAATTTTACTGTTTTTAATATTTGTAATCTGTAAT